CACATGCAATGCAGTGCTACTTACGGACCACGGAATGCCTGGATATGTTTGCACTGCCTTTCTACACATCAAATGATGGAGTAGTCTTCATCATTTTTCCCCCAAGTGTTTCAAAAAATCCGCAAAACATTGCAAGAGGTCAGCACTTTAGTTTTTTTGGCCCACCCCCACCCACACCAACCAACCCCCACCAACCACCACGTATCAGATACCGAGGTTTGGATGCAGTACCGACTTGGCCTGGCTCACGGTTATCATGTGTGCCATGCTGCCCGGATTGAAATGATCTTAAATGGCCTTAACACGCGTATCATATATCTACCTATCGATCTTTTCAGTTATCTACCTATTTATGTGGAAGGATGGGAGAGATAGTTTTATAAGTGGGCAATTAGACTTGTACAACCTGCGAAGCTAAAGATTTTTTGCATGTTGTGGTAGATCGATCACCCGGATCGCCTTCAAATCGCGGTCGGTCGCTTCCCGCGATTGAGGTTCCGGCTCTTCCCACAGCAGCAGCGGATGATGTTGATCCTGAAGGTGGACCAGTGATTGACCAGTGTATCTGGGGTGTTTACAGCTGTGTCTTTAGTACATCACTAGGTATGAACTTGTTGATTTGATTGTGACTTAACAAAATGTGTAAATTGCAAACACATATCTACTTACAGTATACATTATATATTGGTACATGTTGAATGTATCCATCTAGGTTTTGACTTAAAGCAATTGGTCCTGGAGAATGAGTGGAATGACATTGTTTCTTTCAAGATCGGGATTGGGACACAAAAGGTCAGAGAACAACAAAAGTGTCAACCATTGCCATTTTATGTGTGGTTCCAAATGTTGTTGTCAAGCGTATTTTGAGATGGTGTTTCTGGGTTTCCCATGTTTTTTCACGAACCCTTAAAAAGGTAGAAAAAACAATGAAAATATTGTATCATTATTTCAGTGGACATTTACGTTCCTATCGGTTTGCAGCCTACTCTATATATATATGTGTGTGTGTATATATGTTTATATATATATACATAGTTGGAACATGTTGAAACCACCACCCAGACCTGACCTTAGACCTTGTCTTCCCGGAGGCATCATGTAGAGACGGTCCAGGAGAGGGTCAAATGGTGGCGTTCTTGAGCGAAGCTCGAGATGCTTGACGTATGATGTAAGGGTGGGGGCGCAGTTGAGTTGATGAATTGAGATCGCCTAAGACTAAGACCAGCCTTCTGAGATATGCTAAGGTTTTGATGTTTTGCTTTTAATGTTTTGCTCGATGTTACAGTACGTAATATTTTCACTCTTGGACCCTTGGAAAATGAACATATTCCCAAGATTGGTTTGGTAATCCTACCCCGCTAATGTCAAGAAAATAAGAAATATCCTTCATTTGAGCCCCAAAAACGGATAGATTCGATATTAAACCATGGTGGTTAAGGTATTGTTTACTATATTTTAATATGAGGGTGAAGGGGTTAAGTTTTGTGTCATGGATGTTACATGAAAATGAACTCTTCATTGCAAAATCACGGGCAGGTCCAGTCACTGTTCGCTAGAGCTGTTGGGAGAATTGGGTTCACAACTACTCCGGGGTTTCATATGATCGGGGATTGTCGGGGATTGTGAGTTGTTTTCAAACATCTTTTTTGAGGTACACAATTGATCTCCGGATTGTCCTTTGCTATTTTTGAGGGGCGTGCTATCCCCTGTTACCACACGACCTGAGGTCTTTGCCCTGGCAGCAGCCCCAGCGAATGGTTACGGGAGGATGAACACTGAGATTTTGATCATAATTTTGTTTGGATTCAATGGGCATCTGGGAATTTCTGGATGATTTGTTGGGATGTTATCCAGCAACAAGTAGGTACTGACAGCAGACAGTGAATCACGGTGCCCATGACCATGGCATGAGGATACCGGAGATCCAAGTTCTGCGACAATTTTGGAGGCCGCCCTGTGACCGTGGTGGTTGACAACTGGACTTTGGGGACGTTGGTTTTAGTTATGTGGGAACGATTTTCTGAAACCAACAAAGGAGGAGAAACAAAAACAACGATGTGAAAGTTTACAAAGGCCCCAAGGTTCAGAATATAATTTGGTCGAAGTCCCTGAGTCTTGTCCCATGACCTAGCCTTCAGTGCCATCAACGGGTAACAGTTTCCATCTCCCGTTGATCATAGTTCTGGACGAACCCTGCGACGTCTCTGGAATGATGGGAATTATTGTAACTGTATCAAACTGGCCGAACCATTCAGGTTCGTGAGTTGTAATATATGTTGTCAGTGTTTATATTCAACTAATTATGGCCATTAAAACCCCTTTAAGCCCTCATCACATCCCCAGTGCCGTGGGTAAAACCTCATAAGATCTCGAAATATCATGATTGATCCTCATAGTTCTTGAGATTGTTCAAGCTTCATCCCTTTGGATACCCTCCATGGTACCCAGTGTCAGTACTTGGCCGGAAGACTATACTTCACAAGCCACTGGGTAACAAGTATGGGGATGCAACGGGATGGATGGGGAGCTTTGTCATAGACACCAGTGTGCTATGGTGAAACGGTAGGTGACATACATCCACAATAGGGGATTCTGATATCTCTCCTCATGGAAGATTATAGAACCAATGCCTCATGAATCAACAAGCCGTGCCGCCATGCCCCATTTACTTGAAGGTGTCCTGCAACCTTTAACATGGTTAGCTATGAGTTCACCCGTGTACGAATGAACTAATAATACTGTTGACCCAAGACAAATACCGGGATTGATGGTGAAGCGCGAAGGCGTCTCCAACCGCGAAAAAAAGGGAAAGTAGAATTTACAATCAAACATGGCTGGCTACTGTAGGAATTCCCCCAACCTAAACGGTTTTTAACGGAAATCGTCTAAACTTGGGGGGTTGACCATTGCCATGTTTGATTGCCAGAGGATAGACCTCCCCGCTATTTTCTACAACCCTTAGGCAGGGGCTCCAACAAAGGTAAACCATAGCTACAAGGGAGGTAAATGGGTCATTTTACAACGTTTTACATCTATAAGTATGGGGGTCTCCTAAAAGGGGGTGACCCAAAATCATCCATAATGTATTTTCCATCATCAACCATCCAGCTATTGGGCGACCTTTTCAGGATTCCCATATTTATCAAGTTTACTTCCCACAGTGCAGTGTTGTGAACGTTTCCAGGTCCACCAGCAGATCCAACGTGTGCGACTCTCTCGCGACTGGCGTGCGCCGGAACCCTTCGTTGCTCGGTCGCAACATCCCCTGGCACCTGGAATCACCTGGCGGTGGCAAGGAGGTACTATGAACGCTCCGGAAATGTGAATTTAACAAGGGATTCATCCATGAACCTTGGGTAGTTTAAGCTTCTAGTTTTTTGGCTGCAAATGGAAAATAAACCAAAACCGGCAAAAGGTGTCTTTTTGGAGGGCTATCAAAGGTTGACCAGGTGACATCGGGTATACCTTCGCACATGCCATTGAATGGGGAAACCAAAAGGCTATGGAATGTAGGGAATACTAGGGAAGGTTCAAATACATTTATGCTCAGGTATCCGAAATTGTTGTTTAAACTCGATTGAACATGTCAGACCTCCAACATTGGATGGACGGATGGGAATTATACACTGAAGCTTTCAGTTCGATTAAGCTAAGATTGGTTTTAACTTTCCATCCTGGCCCTTTTACCATAGACCAGATTGTGATTTGTTGACGTGTTTCTCCCAAAAGTGAGGCTAGCGGCTATCGTGCTTGTCATGACTCATGGGCCATGTTGTGTGCCCATGCTCTTGCGGCTTCACAACAACCCCATTGCAGATGATTGCGGCTTCAAATGTTGGTTTCAAGTTTACCCTCCGGTGTCATTAAACATGGCTTGCTGAAAATTCCAGTTTAGTCGGAGATGTTATTCCAGCAAGAAACCTCCATTGCTCGATCACGGGTGTCCCAGGGGCACACCATGTTTGATGATCGAATGGGAAACCCTTGTTCACTATTACTAGCCATGTTTAACGATTCTTGGCCAGTCTTAACTATGATTAACCAATATTAAGTACTATGAACCATATTAACACATACAAACCATTATCAACCGCTGAGGGTTAACTATGAACCATCATCGAAGCTGGGATGCATAGCTCTGCCAGATCACCTCAGGAGTTTGGGCTTTGTGTTTACGAATCTCGGCAGCAAACAAATCTCAGTTTTGATGCCTCGCATTGTTTGCCATTGTGGCTAATAAGGTCGCTTTTATGTCAAAATAGAGAATGGTGAACGAACAAAACAATTTCACAATGAACCCAAACGGCAAGTCTTAGTCCTACCTTGTGTTGTTTACAGCGTTTTCTTTCGAAATCAGCATGCGGACGTCTGAAATTACCCCATTTTTGGACACCGCCTCACCATGTTATTTTTTCTTTAACCACCCCATTTCTCCACCACTGGCGCCAGGTGAACATTGTGTCAGCCATGGTCAACAGCCTTCCCAGTGGATATCGCCATGTGGTCCGGGAAACTTCACCACCCAGTTATTGGGATTCGGTGGCGTATTCCCACCTGAACCTGCGGAATCTCGTTGGGATATGGTAGGATGATCCTGGATGGATGGGTCAACATGGGTTAGCTGATGCTGGCTGAAGTTGCCCAACCATTTTTCGGGTGCTGTTTTTGCTAGCAATTTTGGTCGGAAGTGTTTGATGGAGCTGTGCTATCAACTTTTCAGGATCGACCAGCTTCGGATGGATCCTTGGCGCGTGGTGATGTGCAGAACACGGCGGATGGTGTTGGTTGTGGGTCCTTCTAGGTGTGTTTGCCAAGAAATGCCAAGAAATTTCCGGCTCACATCTCCACATCTTTTTTCAGAGATTTGAGATATTGGCGCCCACTGCACCAGTGCAGCACGGGTTGATCCACATCCAAGTTTATATCACCTGTCGTCAATTAATCATTTGCGGCTGGTTTATGTACAGCATAGGCAGCAGCGGCTTGACCACCTGATATCCAGCCGTCACATATCATATCAGGTAAATTAAAGTATACCATGTGACAATACATGCTACAATCTCCAGTCCTCATGTATCCAAGTAAGCACGTGTCATATCAATAATTGCATGTGACACATTTGTTGGTATCCAATGTATCCAAAATAGACACAACATGTGACTGTTTGCCATGATGTCTACCAAAAAATGGTCCTCTTTGAGGACGAGTGGGACTTCCGGATCTTTCATCACGACAGCGCCTGGGGTTGGGATTGGCCGACCAGCTTCGCATATCACCTAGGAGCATTGGAGCTGGGGCGCCCGGTACATCCCGATACCAGTTATCCTTGGAAAAAAAAGCACCAAAGCTGGAGGCTTAACCATCAAAAATGGAGGTTTAAACGTGAAACATGTTGATTTTACCACCATCATTTTATGATGATTTGTCCACGTCAAGCCAGAACAACCCTGTTGGTTGGATGAGTTTGGGTTTGTGTTCCTATCAACTTTGGCTTTGACATGCTTTGACCATGGAAGCACTTGAGAACAAATTATCAAACATGGATGGGGTCTAAACGTCTAACAATTCAAATCTAAAACTGATATTGCATGTATTCCTAGTTGGTTGGACGTGAATGGTATAGCGGTATTTTACCAGTTTAAAAAGGAGGTGATGAGCGTCACGCATGGCATGGACCGAGTTGTTTTCTGGATAAATCAACTAGATAGGTACTTATAGTTTAGTGTAGTTATGTTGTTGTTTTTTCTCTCTCTCTCTTTGTTTTTCTTATACATACAATATATATATATATATATTCATATTGATACTTATTGATCTATAGGAGATATTTAGGAAGATATATATATATATATACACCCAATCAGCTAAAACTTTTTTTTCGCAGAGTATCTAAGATTATTAAACATGTATGCTTCTTGGTTTCTAGTCCAGGAGAAGTGATCCGACGAATGGCCATGGATCCCTTGTCGCCTTTAATGGAGGCCGTGCTTGTGGTTGCATGTGGATTTTAGTGGAATTTGTAATATACAATGCACAACCAAATTTAATATCATCATATATATATATATACACATAAAAAATAACTATGGACATTAATTTTTGACATGACTTTCAAACGGAAAATGGTGATTTCATGAAATAATAGTGGGGATTCATTATTGTTGGGGTGCTCTTTCCGGGTGTAAACATGCGATTTTGTCCCTTCCATAAGTTCGGGTATGTACCCCCAAAAAAATATGGTGGCATGTGACCGCTTTGTTCGCTGGAACTGCACCCCCAAATTGATTCGGTCGGAGACCAAGTCCGCAACGCCTGCACAATGACACATATTTGCAGAACTGGTTGGTGATTTCAACTATTGTTGTATTTTCCACTAGCAATGAGATGACGACCCTTCTGACTTTCATATGTTTCACGGGGAATCACGGGCATATTTCTTTGAGAACATGCCCTCGCAGCCAAGTTTTTGGGTTCAAGCGCCAGTGGGTGCCGGGTCCCTTCCGTTTCAATTTCGATGTGTCAGACATGGGCGGTGCTTTCCTTGGTGATGGTGGCAGCTCAAGGTGCCACCTGGAGACAAACCATCTTTCAGTCCAGGCGCAGAAGATTCGCCACCGCTTGGTGATTTCAAATATGTTTTGACTCAAGGCCTTCCTTTTTCATGATGACCAAAGTGGACTGATCTCTTTCAAATGATAAGAAGCAGAAACAAAAACCGCAACTGGGTAAGTTTCGTGGATTTGTTCTGGTCACTTTCAGCCTAACTTGTCTTGCCTTTGCCAGGCGCCAGCAATCCTTGAGTCAAAGAATGTCAGCAGAAGCATTGATGATCATTGCCGATATTGACCCTAAGACTGGCTTAGTTGCCTATTGGGTTGTGGATGTTTTGCAGGAAGCATTTAGGGGTAATGTGTAAAGCTGCGCTTGAACGATCAGTTTGCAAGCAGTTCCATAGATGGGTGTGTTTGAAAATGGCGACTTGTCGCCCAATCTATGGCTATTTCAATTGGGGAAAACCATGATAAACCATCAAATTTCAGCCTACCCTAGTTGCACACAACCCCCCAACAACCTAAAGAAAGTGAGTTCGTTGCTTTGACGCTGTGATTGTAAACTTTGAACGCCCTTCTGGACGATGTGTTGAGCCAAGGATCCCATGGCGCAGCGCCAGAGCTTGTCCGAGGACATGTGGCACTTTGATGCAGCCCTGCTAGCGCTGAGGACGGGCAACGATGAGGTCTTACCACCCCATGAAGCCGCACAACAGGCCCAGCTGGGGGAAGCTCGGGGAAGCTATGGGAAGCTGGGAGACCTGCGATGATGCTTTAATCTCAACAGCCACAGTTCAGTTGAAATGGTGCGAAACAAGTGCCCCAGGTAAAAATCTTTCATCAACTGCCAGTGTGATTGATGAGTTTGGGCTTCCCAATGCTTGGAACTGAGGGTCGGGTAGTTTGAGGCATGCGGCTGATACGGCGCCCTTGGAAGGGTTGCCAATTTTGAGATGTGCCATTTACGATCCCTTGGAAGGGTTGCAAATTTCAAAAATGAGGCTTGCGGAAATGGGGGTATAGGATTTGTTTTTTTAGTTTTTAACATGTTGCACATGCTGTCGTATGATCATCAGGGGGGGTGTATTAACGTCCTGACGAGCACTTCCTTTACGTTACGGAAGATGCAAACGTTGCACATGCTGTCAGCTGTGTCAAAGATTATCCCCGCAAAAGGTTCAAGTTGGCCCAAGTCAACCACAAACAAAATATCTTTACAAAGACTAAGAATTATCATTTTCGAGGTCGTTTGTGGGATAGATCCTATAGAACCATTGTTGCTGGCACTCAACAAATGGATGGAACGTGGAAACACTTGAAAAAATGGCGACCTCCGTCGATGCTCCACAAAAATAAATAAAACGTGTACAAAAAAAGGTACACTTGGGCCTACAGCTGGACATGGCGTCACAACGCTGCCTTGTTGCAGACTGTGGCTTCTGCGTTGCCACAAGCGCTCTGGCACCGCTAGCGTCGAGAAGAGGAAAAAACTGGAAGAGTGAATGTCGCCCTGATATGATTCGGACGATTGAAATCACAAATTTCTAATGTTTTTTTTTGACCCTTGAAGAGCAAAATCGCGTCACTGCGCAGGCGAAACGCAAATTTTCACTCTTGAGTCACACGCCTGCCAATCGAAATGAAAGTCCATGTTGCAAACATTTTTTGACGACTACTGCAAATACCAGCATTTTGTCTCTTAGCCTCAAAAATCAGAATTTTTAATTCGTCACCCTTACAAGGGCGCCGAGTCAACCGGTTGCCTAGTTTGACTTGGCGGTTTAAGGACAATGGGGCAGTCCATCCACGGGGTGTTTTTGGGTGGCCCGGCCAACCCAAACCCCTAGCAGACCATCGGTTGATACGATGATCACAGCAGGGCAAGCAACACAAGATCTCTCCGGAATATATAATTTTTTCTGGGAATCCCAACACTAAACTAGTGTCAGGATTTGTTCAAAGGGTACTCGATACATCTCAAAAAAACCACCCAAGCAAGAAGAAAATGAATCCTAGGAACTGTTTTTCCAACCTTCTTCCATTATCACCAGGTGCTGCAAGAAGTTTCTGCCGCGTGGCGATCGCTCAATGCCACCCTGTCCGCCCTCTTGGGGAGCAACTACGATGCGACAACGCTGGTGCCAGCTTTGGCGACGCAGAATCTGCTCGTTTATGACAAGCTGGAGAAATTGTCGAACCTCTATGTGACTTAACTGACTGGCAAAGGCGTTGAATGGTTTTGAAAATATACATATATATATATATATTTATACACACTTTTTTTGATAGAGGCGATGCTGTGGACTCGCTACCATTTTTTTGTACAGCAAAACGTGTGTTCCAGTGATACCTTTTGACAGTGAGCTCAGCTGTTTGGACCCCAAATGGCGGAATATTATGAGCTGTTTGACAGCTGTATGATACCATATGGGTTTGTTCAAAAAACGTGGTATACCCCTAACCGTTGGTTGATCATCATCTTCCCAATGAAAATTGCCGGAGATCGGGGTATCCCCAATTTCAGATGACACAATTTTCATTTCATTTTTGACCACAAATGTGGGCCTGTTCTATATATAATGTATGCCTACCCGCTCCCCCTCAGCTTAGCTGGACCTTCAGCATGGTGATAGAGAGAGAGAGAGACATATCAATTGTGTTCATGGTTGCATCGATCATTTTTTGCAATGACGATATATTATACAAATACTACCCTCGAAACCCTGCTTTATTGTTAGATCTATTCACTTTGGATCCCCCCTTCTTGGTGGTATTTTCATCTTAGGGGTTGGAATTAGCCAAAAAAAATGCGACCGTGTGGCCGTTCATTTTCAGGCCTTGAAGAGTCGACAAACCCGCCGTCCATCCGCTAACGCTCAGGTGAATGCAGCGGCTCTGGCCAATGGCATTAGCACTGGACAGAACAACGAACGCACGCTGGATTTGCTGCAGCGGCAAAGCGCGTTGATTTACAAAGGGTGGAAGGAAACATTTCTGGTCAGCGTCTTGATCGAGAAATGGAGGTGAATCTGACAAGGCGGGAGAAATTTGGATTATATATATAGTGAATATCATTGAAAGTTAAAGGCATTCAAAGACCTATGTGACGTTGCGAATTTTGGAGCTGTCCCCCCATGCTATTGTAAAGCGACCCTAATACCCGAGGACCGCAATTTCACTGGCCGACGTCCTAATCTTACCTTTTTTTTCTGGATGTTAAACTTTCAATTTAACCCAACAATAATTGAATCACCATCCCACCAACTAACACAGACATTGTCAAATAAGGGTCCGTAAGACACTTCTTCCCTGTGAAGATGGACTTTCAGGGTCTATGTTAGTGGGGATGGTACAGCGCATGGAATGTTGATACTAAAGTGGGCAGCCCAACCATTGATCATCGGTAATAACTTGGTAAAAGTGATATCACAATAACCCAGTTGCCCATTTATGTATGTGTGTATATATATATGTGTATGTATGTATAATCCCCACCTCCTTTTACTAGAGGTACCCCAAATACTAAAAACTAGGGCCCGCGTTAAATTTTGGGGAATTTCAGACTGCCCTTCCGAAAACAAATTAAAAATTAAGGTCCCATAGTCAGCCCCGGTGTGTTTTTTAATTAGGGTCGGTCTTTTAAGGTCGGGAAAAACATATTATATATATATAGGTGTTTAATTCAATATTATGGGAAAGCTTCGAAATCCAAATTTTGGCAATATTTCAATTAGATCTTAAAGGGAAATTTAATCGATTTTGAAATAGAAAAATCTAGCTTCAAGGTTTTGCAATTGATCTGGGGTCACTGGAAATGGACTCTTGGGTCTTTCCAAATATTTTATATATGGTGGAATTGAATTGTATTATAGGTACCTTATTATTTCCCCTATGAGGTAACCAATTGGTTGATTAAATGGGTATCATCTTACCATTGGTTATTTAATGTATCTATTTGTTTTCTACCATGCTCATGGATAATCATATGTACATTAATATTTTCACTCTTAGGCAACCAATTGGTTGATTAAATTGGTATCATCTCAGTATCGATCACGATATTTTTTTCTATCATATTCTTTAACAGGGGTCCACTACCATTTCCGTTAAAGGGTACCTGACCAATTGCTGGATTAAAATGGAATAGGTATCACCCTTTATAGGGTATGTACTATATCTATTTGTTTCAGCCACGCTCATGTTTCTTCTAGGGTGGTGCCCCCATAGACCTTTGGTAAAAAGATGTAAAAAGCAACCAATATTATCCCTGATGATCACTCTTTTAGTCAAGTACTAAATTTCCCATTAGTTCTACGTCTACATCATAAATCCTTTAAATGCAAGTCCAATTACGAATTTTGCCGAACTCGGTGCAGAAATCTGCACCTTGACTTAGGCATTTTCTTTTGACGATATCCTAGGTGCTTGGTGGGGTATTGCCTAAGTCAAGGTGCAGATTTCTGCACCTAGACTTCGGCAATACAGTGGTTGTACATTGGGATTTAGGTTTTTTTTGCCGATATCAGAGTGCAGACATTTGCATGTGGACTTAGGAACCAGCCTTACTATTATATTCTACCATGATTTTTCCGCAATGGATTCGGGGTCCTTCATTTTGAGATTTAGGCCCAAAAAAAAATGCCGATCTTTTGGCTCGGGGGACCCCAAATACATCGCCACCGCAAATCCGTCGCATAACAAGATTTTATTGTTTTATTTTAACTAAGTACTCAACCAAAAAAAAATATCTGAACTATGATCGAATTGGTGATCTTTTGTTCTGACTGGTACTTCCACGAGTAGAAGGGTAAATGGATGGAGAGCCTAATTATCAAGCCCCTTCTTGGCATGATTGCCGAATGACGGATAAGAATTTATAATATTGAAACATCCATGGGACACTATCTCAAAACGATTTTTCCTTTGGCAAAAATTCGCTAGTATATACCAAGGCCACCTACCTTGATAGATAAGATAGATAAAGAAATAAATGTTGGAAAACATATAGAGGTAGAACTAAATCACCAAGGACCCTAGAATCAAATTCCAAAGACCCCTTATCGGCTGCAAACCCTTTTCTTTACACTAGTGTTTTTTATTTAATATTGAGGGGAAGCTTCGTACCCTAATATTCAATACCCCCTAATACTAAAAACTGCTCCAAATGTTTTTTATTTGGGAGGAGGGAGGGGGGACCGTTTAGTAATAGAGGGAAGGGATTATGCAATTGACATAAACATAACAATTAATCTTGATGGGAAATTGGGCTCCTTGACTCCCCGGCCACTTCACTTCACCAGCACCTGGGATTACCAACGCGTATCATACCATGTCTGGAGGCAGAAAGGTGCCAGGGGTTTTGATCCATGCAACTTTCAAGTTGTCATGGATTGTAGCCATATATCGACTTTCCATATTGGTTTCGGGGATCCATCGACAGCAACCCCCAAAGGCATAGAAAACTCAAATCCTCCTGAATCAGTGATGAAATGAATCTTATCTGAATCGTTTTGAGGGGTGAACGGAGGAAGCAATTCGGGGCTATGGGTATTCATATTCCTTCTATTAGCCATGGGGAGCCAGTTGGAGCTATGAATAGAGTTACCCGAGCACATGATAACTATATCCATCTATATGCCACTATAATCTTGGCTTTATCCCATTATATTGCATTATATCCCCATGATTTCCCATAAATGTCCCCCATGATTCTCCAATTTTACATCTAGATCTTCGATAAAGTCAAACAGTCCAACCACGTCTAATCCACCAAAAGTTCCACAAACTTCGCAGGGATTTGGCCCATGGCGGGTATCCATAGTCTCAGGTCATGAGGTGCTCTCCTATTCCCAGCTTTTGGACACCAAAGAGCTCTTTACATCCACCCATCGAGGCATGAGGATTATGGGAGCCGCAGAACCTTCGCGGCTGAAAAAATGGATGATTTAACCATCAAGAACCAAGTTAAAACTGTCCTACTTAAAACTGGGGTTATAATCTAGTGACTAGAACTCGTGTCGCGTGGCAGGCAAGGGATTGGGCACCTTGTCAAAAGTGAGCAAAACGTGAGGGTTTTGTCGCATTTCCAAAAACGATCATGCGTGGGACATTTGAAGAGGATCTGGCAAGATGCATTTTCCGTGGCAGGCGCCGTGCAAGAGACATATTCTTTATTCAGCGATGTTAGGAGGTCCGGGCGCTGATTTCCTGAGAGGGGTTGCTTTTTGGAGCATCAGATCTTCAGTTGTGGGAAGATGCTTTTGCGTGACAGTTGCAGCACTTTGTATGACCTGGCCTCACGTTTTCGTGGCAGGCGCAATACTTTAGACAGAAGGAGTGGAAAAATCGAAAAACCCATTGGTACGAGGCCGTCAGCTCTGCACTCAACTTTCCATTTCTGACGGATGTCTCATGATGTCTCACAGAATTGCTTCGTTTTTTGATGTTGTCAAGTTCAAAAATTGAGGAAGTCTCACAGAATTGCTTCGTTTTGGATGGTGTCAAGTTCAAAAAATAAGGAAGTCTCGCAGCATTGCTGCGTTTTTGATGATGTCAAGTTCAAAAACTGAGGAAGTCTCACAGAATAACTTCCTTTTCAAGCTTGCAGATAGACAGATAGATAGATAAACAACTACAACTGCAACTACAACTGCAAGTGCCACTACACTACACTACTACAACTACAAGAACAAATATACTACGCTACATTACACAACACTAATTACACTGCACTACACTACACTAAACTACACTACAGTACACTACACTAATTACATCTAATTGCATCTAATTACACTACACTAATTACACTACAAATACTACAACAGCAACTATTACTAGTACTACTACGCGACGACCACCGCCACCACCGCCACCACCACCACAGCTACAACTACAATTACAGCCACACTACATTACACTACAATACATGAATTACTAATTAAACTGCAGTACGTTACAGCTACTAATACAAATGAAACTACACTACATTACACAACACGACACTACACAAATTACATTACATCACGCTACAACTGCAAATACCACTATACATTGCACTACACGACACGACACTACAACTACAACTACACTACTTTACGCTACAATACACTAGACTACACTACACTGTACCACGCTACAATACACAACACTACAGTACACTACAATACACTACACTAAGTACACCACACCACAAGTAACTACAACTGCAACTGCAACTACACTACACTAATTACATTACATTACACTTACAACTTACAACTGCAACGCCACTACACTACTACTACAACTACAACTACAACTACAACTACAACACACTACATCCAGCAGTTGTGGTGAGGTGACAACTGCAACCATTGTAATCACCACGTTTCGGTCCATCAGTGGATTCGCTCTGCCATCCGTGAGTCACAACAACCAACCCTTCCTATAGGCTTTTATTTTTGAAACTTCCGCCGCCGCCTTGCGCGGTACTACTGGTAAAATATGGCCTTAAATGATACAGTGATGTACAGTGCCTCCAATTTTAGGTCCCTGAAATGGCTAATAAACAAGCAGCAATCGTTTCTGCAATGCTCACCAGCATGTTCCGCCATCAGAAAGTCAAACAAATCAACCATTACCAACCTCTTTCTCCAAGGTTTACCCTCCGATAATCTAACCTAATGATCAAAAATACGGCGTTTATGGCAGATTTCCGTATCAAAAAATGAGACTCTCCATTGCGATGTTTGATTGCCAGAGGGTCAATCAACCACCTCTGCTGGTAAGTTGCCATTCTTGCTGATAGAATCAACGGCTAAATCCACCAACAATGATAACCTTGTGGTAAGGTAAGACTTGCAACCAGCAACCTAGTGGAATATAACCTTGTTGGTGGCTTCAACCCCGCCCTAACGCACTAGTCAGTCGGGGCTTCCTTTGTCCCACATCTGAACGTCCAAAAGTGGTCCGAACATGTGGTGTGTTTAACATTTTGACCTCGAAATGTGCTTCGCGCCACAACTGCGTGCACTTTTTCGACATCGCAACTTCCAAAAGTGGTCCGAACTTGGTGTGCTTTGTACATTTTGAATTGGACATGTGCTTCGCGCGACAACGGCATTCACTTTTTCATCATCTCATCTGGCCAGCTGGCTCCACACCCGCCGCCTTAGCGAGCCTACTTGTCGATCCTGAGGAGCCACAAATCCTTGAAAAAACACAGTGTTTCGCGACTTTCCTACCTTTTCGCGCACCGGATCTTCTTTCTTCTGAGACTTTCTCTTTTTTGATCTTCTTTCTTCTTTCTTCTTCTCTTCTCTTCTCTTCTCTTCTCTTCTCTTGTCTTCTCTGACTCTTCCCATCTCTGCTTTTCATCTCTCCATATGGTCGGAAGTTTGACTTCTAAACTTCCTTCGCCAAAGGGATATCCCTTTGTAAGGGCTATGTAAGGGAATATCCCCGCAAAATATGGCCTTACATATGATTCAGATTCAGTACCTGCATTTTAGGGTCCTGAAACTCCCACCGATCTTTGCAGTGCATGACGCTCCAGGCATCATCGACGGTGCGACGTGGCTGGACATTCCGAAGTTGTCCGATGTCTGCGCCTTGCGGGCCATGGCAGATGTGATGCTCGGTGAGGAATGGCTGGGGAATGGACCAACAAATTCAAAACGGAAGCGGATCTTGGATGGATTCCCTGACATCTGTAAAATTGCAGAAAAAAGGAATGATATGCAATGCAATGCAATGCAATGTAATGCAATGTAATGTAATGTAATGTAATGTAATGTAGTAACGCAATGTAATGCAATGTAATGTAATGTAATGTAATGTAATGTAACGCAATGTAACGTAATGTAATGTAATGTAGTGTCATGTCATGTAATTTACGTAATATTGTACGGTTGTTGTTTTGCTTTGCTATGTGATGTTATGCTTTGCTATGTTATGTTATGCGTTGCTATTTTATGTCATGCTGTGCTATGTTATGCTAAGCATTGTTTGCTTTGTGTTATGTAATGTTTTGTTTTTCTGTCTTACGTTATGCTTTGTTATGTTTTGCCATGCTATGTTTTTGTTTTGTATGGATGGGTGTATGTATAGTATGTATGGTATGTATAGTATGTATGGTATGTATGGTATGGCTGGTATGTATGGTACGTATGGTACGTATGGTGCGTATGGTATGTATGAGATGTTATGCATGGTATGGACGTATGTATTGACGGTATGGATGGTATGGGTGGTATGTATGCATGCATGCATGTGTGTATGCATGCATGCATGTATGTATGTACGTGCAGATGTATGTATGTATGTATGTATGTATGTATGCATGCATGTATAGGCTGTCTGTATGTATGTATGTATGTATGCATGTGTGTAGTGAACGCAATGTAATGTAGGTAATGAATGTAATGAATGTAATGTATGTAATGTATATAATGTTTGTAATGTATGTAAATTATGTATGTATGTATGTATGTAATGTATGTAATTTACGTATGTAATGTAATGGTATGTAATGTACGTATGTAATGTAATGGCATGTAATGTAATGTAGTGTAGTGTAATGTAATGTAATGTAGTGTTATGTATGTATGTATGTAGGTAGTGCATGTACTGTATGTACGGTATGTATGTAATGTATGTAATGTATGTAATGTATGTAATGTATGTATGTAATGTATGTAATGTAATGATGCAATGTAAGGTAATGTAATGCAGTGTAGTGTAATGTATGCAATGTAAGGTAATGTAATGTAGTGTAGCGTAATGTAGTGTAGTGTAGTTTGGTGTAATGTATGTAATTTGTGTAATGTATGTAATGTATGTAATGTCTATAATGTATGTAATGTATATATGTAATGTATGTAATGTATGTAATGTATGTAATGTATGTAAATGTAATTTAATGTAATGTAATGTAATATAATGTAATGTTCTTCATGTTTGTTTGAATGTATGTTTCAATGTATTTTTTTAATGTAATGTATGTATGTATGTATGTAAGTATGTATGTATTTATGAATGAATGAAATGAAATGAAATGAAATGGAATGGAATGGAATGGAATGGAATGGAGTGGAATGAATAAATGAATGAATGAATGAATGAATGAAATGTATGTATGTATGTATGTATGTAGGTTTGTATTAATGTAATGTGATGTAATGTAATGTAATGTGATGTGATGTGATTTAATGTTATGTAATGCTTTGTATGTAATGTAATGTATGTGGCATTTACGTATATATGTATGTATGTATGTATGTAATTATGTATGTATGTATGTATGTATGTATGTTTGTATGTATGTATGGTTGTAATGTAATGCAATGTAATGCAATGTAACGCATTGTAATTCAATGTAATGCAATGTAATTCCATGTAATGTAATGTAATGTAATGTATTTAATGTATGTACGCATGTATTGTTATGTAATGAAATTTAATGTTTTCATGTAATGTAATGTAGGTTACTGATTAGTGTGGGGAGGCCCCCCCCCTAAACAAAGTTGGGTTACAGAATAGTGTGGAAAAAACAAGGTACCGGGTACAGAATACGGTAAAATCAAAAAAAAATGATAGATTTAAATTGATTTCAATTTACTTTCAATTGATTTGAATTTATTTTGAATTGATTTCAATTTACTTTCAATTGATTTGAATTTATTTTGAATTGATTTCAATTTACTTTCAATTGATTTGAATGTATTTTAAATTGATTTCAATTTACTTTCAATTGGTTTGAATTTATTTTCAATTGATTTCAATTTACTTTCAATTGATTTGAATTTATTTTCAATTGATTTCAATGTATTTTAAATTGATTTCAATTTACTTTCAATTGGTTTGAATTTATTTTCAATTGATTTCAATTTACTTTCAATTGATTTGAATTTATTTTCAATTGATTTCAATGTACTTTCAATTGATCTCAATTTATTTTCAATTGATTT